AAGAGTTTCTGTCATTTTGCAGGTAATATTTCATCCTGAATTTTTATCTTCTACCAATCCTCTGTTTAGTATGGACTATGAAGAATTTGTACGTGGTTGTCATTTAGGAGTTTTTCCATCTTACTATGAGCCTTGGGGTTATACGCCAGGTATGTATCATTAAAACTACATTGAGTTAGTATCCAAGTTTATAATAGGTTTTCAGCAAAGCTTTAGATGAGCTATAGTATTGTGTTTAGAAACTTGTCAGCAACAAATGACAAGTAAAGTGTTTTTGTAATTACATACAGATTCAGATAGAAATATATATATATATTATATGTATATTGTTACTAGAAATTGATATTTAGGTCAGTTGAAATAAGACAGTAATTATTTTGAAATCAATTATAATTTTTAATCACATTTCTCAGCTTATTTGACAGGGGTCATACACATCCCTAAAAGAAACAAAAAACACTTAGAAATTTATTTTCAGTCTTAAAAAGTATTAACATTTCTGTTGTGAAAAAAATAAAAGTTTGATATGACAACTGTTTAGAAATACCTTCCATCAATTAATTTTAACTCTTGAGGAAGTGTAAAATAGAAATATTTTCTAAGCTATGGCCAGGAATAATGAAATTGCACAATTTTATGCTTTTACAGACACACAGGATAGTTAAGGCATTATTTTGTTTTTTTATTTTGATACTTGAGTGCTCTACCATGTACAAAAAATTGAAATCTGCAGGAAACATTCTTTTAGTAACTTTGACTAATTTCAACCTTTGATTATCCAAATAAAACCAATCTCAATAGAGCAAAGTGTAAGAAATGTTTTTCGTAAGACAGCATGAGTTTCAGAGCTTTGACACATTGTATGGAAGGTAAGAGTAATATTATGGTTCTCATATCATCATCAGACCTGAATTCAATAACAAAGCACAGACCCCAGAACTGGGTTTTGTGGTTATTTGTTATTTTAGGTGAAAACTATTACTCGTGAAGCTTAATGAAAGTTTAATGATTTTAAGCACTGATCAGTAGTGGTAAGGAAATTTTTAAGATTGATAAATACTGATTTTTGAAGTTAGTTTAATTTCACATTTATTTAATGAATATACTTCACTATAGTTATGGATAAATAATTTCTCAATTTGCTTAGTTGTTCATGGATGGTGGGAATTGGCACCAATTACTATAAAACACTAACCTAAAGCACTGGAGAAGAGAGACTGTGAACATCAAGTTTGATTATTCTCTGTCTTTCATCAAGGTTATTGTAAACTGATCAAAGAAATAATACTAAATGTTTATCAGAAGAGAAACCCATTAACACAAGTGCTTTTGGGATAGTGGATTTTCCTTCATCAGGGGTTTGTTTCTGATGCTAACTTTTCTCTGTTGATTCTGCATGCTTTTGAATATCATTATTATAATGATTCAATATAAAATAAGCCTCTTTTAAATAAATAATGGCTGTCAGCTATTTATTGTTTGGACTCTGTGAGTTGAATAATATCAGAATTAAATTTTTATTCCTTAAAATAGGGGTGGTGTTTTCAGTATTATGTTGTGCAATCAACCATCCTACTTTTTTTTATGACCTCAAGCACTTTGAATGTTTGTCAGGTTTTATATAATTCATAAAATTAAATCAGAAATATTAAGCCCCCTTAAATATAAAAAATACATGCATCAATTATTTTAATAAGTAATTTAGCTATTTCTTACCATTATCTGATGACTTGTTTTAACAATCTGTTGTGTTTGAGCACAGAAAGCACCGAAAAGACACTTTCTGAAAAAGCAAAATGGCTGCCGACAAAGCATTCAAACATTTTTTTTCAAGTTAAACTTAAGGTTACTAAAAGTGAGATGGTAGTGCTGTCCAAACATTTTTGTTTTCTAGGTTATACTCAAGGTTACCAAAAGTGAGATGGTAGTACTGTCCAAACATTTTTGTTTTCTAGGTTATACTCAAGGTTACCAAAAGTGAGATGGTAGTGCTGTCCAAACATTTTTGTTTTCTAGGTTATACTCAAGGTTACCAAAAGTGAGATAGTAGTACTGTCCAAACATTTTTGTTTTCTAGGTTATACTCAAGGTTACCAAAAGTGAGATAGTAGTGCCAGTCATTAAACATTTGTATTCTCTAAGTTAGATTTAAGCTTACTAACAATATGTTAGCGGCACTCAATGGTGCCATTAGTATTGATGAAAATTTAAATTGAAATTGGTGTTTGTAATTGAATTAAAGGAAGTATTGAAGTATTTGTTCCCTTCAGGGGAATGTTAATAGAAATAACTATGGATGTATTCATGGTAGTTCTTTTTATTATTATTTTTTTGTTTTTAGGATTTTTTATGACATAAAAAATAACATTTTGTTACATTGAGTAATGAAAGTCCAGCAGCTATATAAAACATGCTTGTTACTGATTTTCATCCCCACTGTCGTCTTCTCTGCAGTCACAAGCTAGTGCAATATATCTGTGTCCAGTCATGCCTTATTGTTGCAAGACCTTAGTTGCATGGACCTCTTTTTCCAATGCATGTGCATAAATGCCAGATCAGTTGTTCAATTCTGCAAGTAAGTCTTGAATTTTCAAAGACAACTAAACAGTCTTTAGCTAATGCTCTTGAGACTGGCATGGTCAGCAGAACATGAAATATCTTGTCCAAATTATACTGAAGTATGTAAGATTCATTCAGAGCCTCTTAAAGACGTTTGCACTTAACTTGTTCAAATTTTGCAATATTTGCCCAGAACTCAAGCAAACTTTAGTATTTTCCAAATAAAGCCAAAAATGTATAAACTCTCCTTTATGTAAGATTCATTCAGAGCCTCTTAAAGACATTTGCACTTAACTTGTTCAAATTTTGCAATATTGCAATATTTGTCCAGAGCTCAAGTACAACTTTAGTATTTTCCAGATGAAGCAAAAAATGTATAAACTCTCCTTTATATCATGCCACATATTTTATGGAAGAAGCTAAGCCAGTGGGTTTAAAAACTATTGGGTTCTTAGTCTTGGTCTAGAATCATAAAGTCTGCTTTTCATTTGGGTTTTCAAATGATCAACAAACTAATTACAGAGGTTAAGATGCCAATATCCTTCAGTGTTAATGCTGACACATTTGCCTGATGAGTCTCTCTCTCCCTACAGTGCATGGCATCTCAACAGATATTTTGTTATTTTCAGAAGGTTCTATGATTTTTCCTCAGATTTTGTCACAGTAAGCAATGTCCTCTTGTTTTGCCATAAGAGAAATAACTAGACAGTGGACTTGATCAGAAGTTTTTATGAGATTATGATCTGGGTTTTGCAGACCATCAGATAGATGTTAAATATTTTAGAGTGCTGTAGCAGACAGAAAGTCTTATAATAAATTAAAAGGAATGCAAAGCTTTATGAAAAAACTCTGCTTTTGAACTTACTTTTGTATTTTTAAAAGACTGAAGTTTAGTGAGGGTGTTGGAATCTGCCTTTAATTTGTAAATAATGGACTCTACATCCTCTGCATGATGGGACTAGCAAGTTTTGCAGAATGTTTTAATCAGAGTTAATGTCTAAATAAACCTGAAGTCATTGAGATGAAATAATGGAATAAAGAATTTAACCTGAACATAAACAGCACTTGTTTCTGTACCCCAGCTTGCACCCCCACCTTAGATATTCTCACTCATGCTTCCAGCACCATCATAGCACTGATCAACAATGTTGTTTGCACCCAAGTAAAATTCTTGCACTTCTTCAAGTAATAGCCCTGTCAATATCTCACCTGTACTGTAAAAGTGAACTCTTCTTAAATAGTGAGCTTGCCATCCATATTTTGTACATACCTGAGATACATTGTAAATTGCTTAGTGTTACTTATATCAGTAGACTGATCTGCTAGTGCTGAAAATAACCTTGCATTTCTACATGCATTCAAATTTCTTGCCTAATCTGACCATCATAAAGTAAATTAAGCCCTTTTGAGGCTGATGATGGCTTTTATACCTGGTTTTTGGATGTTTTTTTGTAAATGATACCTTAAACGCATCATCAGTTTTGGCACAAAAGTTCAACAATACTGTATAATTGCTAGTTCTGTCCATCTCGTCATGCAAATAAATATTTTATTTACCACACAGTATAACAGTTACTTCTGACACATTTACATCTACAGTCTTATTGCATTCTGCCCTGTTTCATTGTTAAGCCCTCAGTCTGCATTTTCATAGTCAATGCTAATAACATCAGCCCTGCTTTCTAAACTGGGATTGTCATCAAATTCCCTCACATTTATTACTTTTGCTTTGAATTTCACATTCTGATGTTTTTACTATCTTTCTTGACTGAAAATCTAGAACATTCCTCTAGTTGTTGTTGGGAGGAAGTCATTTACTCATTTGATATCTATCATCTGTATACACTGACCAATGATTTGCAAATGAACATAATCTAACCGATTCAAAAAAGTTAACATTGATAAAGTTTAGGAGTGTATCGACAAATGCAGACAACAATATCTCTTTCCCCATATTACATGTTAAAGAAAATTGATAGATTTATTTAAGTCTTAAGGTTTTATTAATAAGGATCGATTTAAACACTCATTACAATTTGTAACCCATAACAGCCCAAGTTTTGTCTGAAAATGGTCAGCCATCAGTATAACCTAGAAAGGAGTATTAAAACAACTGAACCCTAATATTAGTATAACCTGGGAAGGAGTACTACAATATTTTTAGGCCTGGAATTAATATAATCTGGGATGGATTACTATGATATGTTAAGGTCTAGTATTAATATAACCTGGGAAGGACCACTATGATATTCTGAGGCCTTGTATTATGAAGTAGTGAACAATAAAGCTACATTTACTTATTAATCTTTAGTTAATAAACAAAAAAAAATCAAAATATGTAGCTTAACTTACAATCATAAACCTTGTTCCTTATATAAAAGCTGTAGCAGTCATCATTGATTGCCTTCAGAGAACAGTCATCATCATATTTACAGTACAATGTTCGCTATGCTTTTAAGACATTGTAGGTGAGAACAAGCAATTGTTTGGCTAATGGATGTAATTCTGATTCTTAAGTTGACTGTATCAAATAATTAATTACTTTGTGTCTTGGACAGTGCATTTTAATTTTTAATTTAGTATTACTGTAATAATAATAATAAACTTATGAATAGAATGCACAGTCTTCACTTATTAAGAATGTATAGACACAGTTCAAATTTATAGATGAAATTTAGTGATTATTTAAATAATTGTTTTTGGTACACTGTAGCCATTAAATTTTCTATAATTTAACCTTTCATTGCAGGCAGGTTGGAAGAACACAAGTCATGACCTTTTAGAGAGTTATTTTCAAAATTTTATTAAATAACTTTACTACTTATGTCAATGGAATTGACATCAAAATGTAGTTTGCAATTCAAATGTTAATATTATATACGTTTTAATTTCTTAATTAAAAGGATATATAAAGAAAAAAATGCTAAATATAAATTTTTATTTGTCACATAGCACTTCCTATTATCTTATTTCTTAGTTTATATTTTATTACACCTACCATACAACATGTAAAGTGGTTAACAAATTAGAAACTCGAATTTGATATATAAACAAGCTAGAATATAAAATAAAAACCTTCCACCTCTTTGATTTGTCAAGTTGTCAATATATTAACCAATGTAGTAGAGTGACTCATCCCACTACCCCATTTATTTGAAACCTCTTGTCTAGTCCCACCTACTTCTTTTGACTAAGTGTTTACTACCAAGAGAAAGAGCAGTTTCCTGTATACACAAATCTGACAGTCATTTGTAAATTGCTTGAAGGAGAAAGTCATAATTTTGGCAAAACTGTTAGTGTGATGACTTAAGTTGTTGCTCTGAACAGATGAGGTTTTTTATAGTCATATATAGCTTGTTTAGAAACCCAGATAAATTACAGTGTGCACAAGTATAGTAAATTGATAATTTTTGTTTTCTAAAATATATATATATATAAGTTGAAGCCTATAAAAATTAATCTCTCTTCACCCTTTACTTGGAAGAATAAATGGGGCTTACAACAAGGCTTAGCATGTACGATTCACGACCACAAAACCTCATAACACTGTAAATACTCAAAATCTTTGTTTTTTTGAAATATTGTTTATTTATTCTTCTATGTTTTAATAAAAATAACTAAAATTTAAACATTTGTGAATACATAGTAGTTACTGATTGATGAATGAGTGTGAAAGGGAAAAACGATTTTATAACCATGTGCACAAATAATATCTTTGTATGCCTATATAGAATACTGCTAAATTCCAAACATCTCTGAAGAATAACCAATACTTAAACACTTGCGATGTTTATTGGATTGGCTATGAACCATATAATAAATGTTTCAAAGTGCAATGTTATTACTCCGGGGAATTTTCATTATAAATACTTTAGGATACATAAGACGATAAATTCTGCATTGTGTTCTCGGAGCAGGTGCCAAATCAGTTTATTTCTTCATACAAGCTTTGTTGCTCTCAAGAGTGTCATAGTACAGTGTCATGTAAACAGTCTAATGGCACAAGTGGTGATTTGTTGCTTTATTTTCAGCAGATTTCTACTTCACTTGTTGATAGTAAAATATACACAGAAAATATATGTGAAATGTTTAGTGGTTAAAACTCTCAAGAGAGTACTTTGAAACTTCATGAGCAATAGTAAAGAAAAAAGGGCACAGCTGCTCATTTTATTTCTGATTTTACAATTTTTTGTTATACTTTGATGATTTGACTACTGACTGAAAAATCAAATATATTGATAGGATAGAAGTAATAACAGATAAAATATAAAGTTCAATATATTCATGGACAAATCTTTAGTAAAAATACTTCATACAAAAACTGATTTTTTGTGTACAAACAATATGTAAGGTTTATTAAAAGTGTGCCAAATTTTATGACGACACGTATTGTATTAAAAGTTATATTATGGAAACTATAATGAATACAAAGTGATTATGAGGTCAGTCAATTCAAGTGACTCTATGTTGAGAGAGTTAATGGATTAAGACTTAAGGTGCAAGTCATTTTAAAGTTGTTCATTTTAATTAAATAAAAGCTACATAAGGCATGTACATATATATGTGTATTGGTAAACTGTTACTCTGTTATTTTAGGTTTCAACTGATTTATATATCATGTAGGCCCGGCATGGCCAGGTGGTTAGGGCACTCGACTCACAATTTGAGGGTCGCGGGTTCGAATCCCTGTCCCACCAAACATCCTCGCCCTTTCAGCCGTGGGGGCGTTATAATGTGTCGGGCAATCCCACTATTCATTGGTAAAAGAGTAGCCCAATAGTTGGCGGTGGGTGGTGATGACTAGCTGCCTTCCCTCTAGTCTTACACT